TATGACCAACAGAAAAGACAGACCAACTGAAGGGATATTCAAATTATTAAATGTAAGCGAAAAGTAGAGATCACATCATCAGCCTATAAGAGCCCACTGCTGAGCAAAGGTCTCTTTTCACACGGAAAAGGTGTGAGCGTTGTGTTGTATACGCTTACTCAAGGTGAATTGGCGATTTTAAAGTAATTAGAATTTTTTACCAGGTTGCCGCACGATGTATTCCTTTACAGTATGCCAATTATTTGTGTCCTATCATACAGTGAAGATGTGGGAGCGTTATTCTATGGCATACTATTCATGAACTAAATCTTCATATTTCTTGACCTTCAATATTTCGTAACACATTGACCTACGTCTTAAAACTATTAAAGTGTGAGAACAAAACATAAGGTTTAATATCTTTATTCATAACCTAGTCTTTAATTTCCACCTTGACAAATAGTAATTGACCTCTTAACCCACAGATTAAAAAATAAATTAATAAACCTCTTTGTTTCGAATGAATTGTTCTGTTTCCCTTGAAGTCTTTCTAACAAAGGCACATTTAGAATCGTCATGTTCCAAATTTGAAATTTAAATCTACGATACATATGTGGTCGCAGAATTATTATACGAGTATTTACCATAAACCGTCTCAATTATATTTTCAAGTGCTCCTGTAATTCTTCAAGTTTAAAATGTCAAATCATTACTAGATTTTCAATCTATACTAATATTGTAAGAGGTACATTTGTAAGTGTGTATGAAGGAGGTAATCATTGAATTCGGTGTTCGGATTTTCAAAATTCTTTCACTGATAGATAGCTACAATGCCCCTAAGTGCTATAGATTATGAATTATACTTGATTTACGTATTTAAGTCCCGGGATTCATTACTTTTCGGATGCGAAGCCGCGGGCGGGTCGCTAATGTTGCAATATTTATGTTATATATGTTTCTAACTAAAAAAAATAACAAATATAATTTAAATTAACACAACATTCCCGGAGCGTAGTATTACTAACACCCCTTTGAAACACTTAAGTTAAAGTCCCATTTAATGAAGGACGAACACAACATGCAATAAGGGAAAAACAATAAAAACTATTCTTCTGTTACATAAACTCCTCTAAAAGATACACATCGGTGCAAAACGTCCGCGTTCACCGCAAGTTTCCCACGAAATTATTTTTAATACTTGACATATTGTAAATAATGATAATTGGAGCGTCGCGCGTCGCTTGCCTAATACGTGGATCGTGAACTGGCAATAGGCTCCTCCATTTATTTTGCATTCTGGGCCTCTTACGCTAAATGCAGTCACGAAATGTAATCTTACTGTTTTTGCTTTTGGGGATATTTTTTACAAAAGAGTTTAGATAGGTATTTTTATTTATGAAGCGGACTCTTGGATCATTCTGCCAAACTTTTAATTTTCAACTGACCGATGCAAAATTTTTGTAAATTTACTCACTCTAAATTCTTAAAAAGTCCCTGTCCATATTAAGATTACCAAAAAATGTTTTTTTAGAGAAAAGTTACTACATGATTTCCCAATCCCAAAAGAGTCCTGATTAGTTAAGTATAAGACCCTGAAAATAATACCACCGAAGCATGACCATCATCTTTCTCGATTTATCAATCGGCAAACCGTCATGCAGGTGGCTTGCTAGGCGTGCTCCATAGTAGGTTGCATCATTGCTTATCATCAGATTACATACTGGATCAATCATAACAAAAAAACCCAGCCTTCAAATCCGAAATATTCAGTGGTAAACCACAATTGCAGTCAGAGAGAAGCTCTAAAATAATGGAGCAAAAAGGAGTCCTCCCAAAAAGTAGTTATCAGGTTGGAAGAGAATTAAAGAAGCTTACCAATATATTCGCATAACTCCATGTATGTGAAACAAAAACTTGGATAAGATAACAACCCAGTTATCCTCTTCTTTTTAGATAATAGATCACAAACAGATTCCCACGAACAATAATGACGGTGTGCGAAAACGATTGCAATCCGTTGACGAAACTAATATTCATATTCATATTCATATTCATATTTATTTGCATTCCACAATGTATAAGAGGTGTTACAGAATGGCTTAGAGCTAAGTACTATCGTGGACCCTGTAGGGCACAGCAAAATAAAACTTACATCTAAAATTAAAACAATTAAAATATATATTAAAACAATTAAAATTAATTTATATATATATATATATATATGAAAATTCAATAAATGTATCATGGTAATGTGCTTGTTGTTATGCGTTATGTTGTATATGGACAATGTTGTTATCATTTATATATTCATCAATTGAGTAGTAGGCTTTGTTGATGAGGATATAATATGCGACGTGTCAATCAAAATGTGACACAAATTGGCATAACAAGTTTGCGAAAACCACTTTGAAGATGTCTGACATATACATACAGGTAGTGAGTTATAGTTATGTGTCATTTGTGTGCTGCAATTAACTACTTAGAAACAAAAAATAATCCTAGTAATTATTATCTTCACATATACATGTCCATATCTGGGTGAAGAACTGGAAAAAGTTTGATTATTAACAGTCATTTTATATTATGATTCGAAAATATAAATCCAGGCTTTGTCTCAATTCTTTCTTCACAAATAATAAGAAATTGCATAAAAGTTGGAAAAATGTCGGAGCTTGCCAAATTTCAAATATAGATTCTCACAGTATCAAACATCCGCCTTAGTGTCATTTTCCAAAAAATACCAATTCTAAAAACCACCGACTTCAATATTCCAAATTTCCAAATAATATTAAGTTTATAGTAACAAGCGAACAGTAATCCAAGTCATTATCGACATTACAGGCCACAGTACAATGCAAACAGCAGTACAATTGCAAGATGCACTGACATAGTTGCACAATACTAAATTACTGATCCCATCTTACTGGATAATGTCTGTTCATTGCAAAGTTTTAATTGCAAATATAATGAGCTTGTTGTTACTGAAACTAGATTCGATTTTATTTTGATCTTTTAGTTTTGTTTCACTTTTACCTAGTGTTCTAAGTTGGTACGCAAGATGGATAGACAATACTTTTTGGCACGTCAGTTTTAAGAATTACACAAAAATAATAAATCTTAACAGCGCGTTTTTCGCAGTGGCTTTGCAACTGGCTGTTGTGCAAAGTGTCAGAGGTTCCATGTCGATGGATAAATTGTTAAGATTGTTAATTTGTTGAGATCAGTTGTTCCTGATCTTATTGGCTTGTGCATGTAAATTAAAGTATGTTTGTTAACGTACCCACAATAAGGAAGAAAACCGAAGTGAGGAGCAACGTTGTAAAAAATGCATTAGTTAGGCATATATATGTATATCGTAAATTATGCATGTTTTTTGGTATGGTTGTACAATGGACAACCTTAAACCTGAATATTAACTACAGGAAGAATATAAAAAAGGGATAGCCAATAGTATTAATAAATATATTATTTATTTCGGACTAATTCGTTTTTATTACTAGATCAAGTGAGTTTTTTTTATGATTTTGCATCTCATATTTAACGTAACGTTAATATTTATCTGTTTAACATAGATCACATACTTTATTACTTAAATTATGGCTTTCTTAAATAGGATATCAAACAAGGAGTTCTGGGTTTAAATAATAATTCACGGGAAAAAACTAGACTGTCAAAATTAGCATTGAAACTGTAATTACCCTCTATTACAACAGGTTTAAGACTAAAAATGTTTCGTCAAGACACAAAAAAACTTAAATTTTTAAAACATATTAAACCAAAAACCTAACCAGAACATGCTACACATCCATCACAAATTCAAACCAAAAAAACTAATTATCTTACTAATTAAATAGATTTAAAAACAGACAGAATCCGCAGATTTTTTCATCATGTAATATTCATAATGTTACATGTAGAACCAACTTAACACGTATTTATGAATGTTACCGTGTCGGTATTATGTAAAAAAATAATAAAATTTTACATAAAATGATGGCATATGACCAGCGCTCATTAATTATCTGTGGACTCTACGCTCTAATTATTTATACATCCATTAAACTACGATGAGTTTTTTTTTTAACTTTTAAAACAGATTTAGACTTGTCTTGTCGACATTTTTATTAGATATTTCATTTTGGAAATAATAGATTGTGTAGGAATTAAATCAAAACATATTTGCATCTAATATTTTCAACATTATTTTTTGTTGGTTATAGTTTTTAAGTATAAATATACCTTAATCCATACTTTTTTTTCTTCAACATCAACCTACACGAAAAATACTACGATACAATTTAATAAATGAATCCCAACCAATAGATATCAACACGAACAATGAAGTAACACGGTAAACAAAGAAGAAAAAACTAAAAAAAAACGCCTCAATTTTCCAATTACACCGTCGACCTACTTAACGAAATTTTCGAAAAAAAAAGGAAAAGCTAAACACTAATTAAAAACACGCACGTAACATTCGCACGATGGCGCGCATTCCACCATTTATAAAACTGTTAAAATATAATGTTTTATTTGAAAAAAGAAAATAATAATGAGGTAGATGACACGCGTGTTTTTAATCTGTCAACCTTACAATTCCTTATTCAAACAATTGAATTATAAAAGGCACTGTTATTTAGTAGCAGTGTAACGACTTAATACAGGGTTTCTCCAAACATCGTGATTTGCGGTAATATAAAATTAAAGTTGTATACAAAAATTTCACTTGTGAATTTATCTGATCTGTCTTATTACGTCTTGTGGTAATGCGGCAGCCGCAAAAGAATACGCGTCGAACACAGCCGTTTACAAATTGGCGGAAAATTGTCGGCCGTATTTTTTTTCCTGCCACTCCGACTAATGGCCATCAAGAATTTTCATGCTTTATTTAATGTGCAAATCAGGAAGATATTGCCACTTGCGTGTTATCATTTTGCTTTTCAAATAAGCGATATCTCAAATAACGACAAAAACTTTTTCATTTTGTGTAAGTATATTACAAAAAAATAAAATAAACTTACCGAGAAAAACGAAAATCTTCATTGTAGAGTTTAAACAGCTTGCAACACTGACACAAGTTTAAAAGTAACAGAATTAGTTCGAAGTTCGAATTTGTTTGAACAGCGGCGTTCGACGTGGTCCGTCGCCGAGCCGCGTGTGTTAGATGCGCGCACGCAGCGGCCGTTGGTAGCGCCTTCACTTTCTATGTGGTGGGGCTCAGGAACACCGGGAAACCAAGGGTTTGTTGACATTACTACTATTGCATACGCACGAACACATAATCCGACGATTTAATTAGTACACTGATTGATATTATTACACGTTTATAATACACATTTTTTGCATACATTATTATTTTTTACTGTTAGCTTCCTCATAGGTTGATCAGTTAGGCCCGAAGCGTCATATCGAGTAAAACAATACACGAAAATATTACGTATTTTAGGGTCTAAAACTATGTATAGTTTCGAACTTAGAATACAGAAAGCGAATACTTCTTTGATACAAATTATACTATACTATTTTGACCTACAAAATTGAGCTAATAGATGATAGAAAAATCACATCGAGTTTTTTGGAAACTTAGGTACATCACGGCTTGTGAATAAAATTTTTAAAATATATTTTGGGTAGATTTTCATTAATGAGTTAATTTTTTTTTCTAGGCAATACTCGTAAAACTGTCTCTGAATAAACTGAATAAACTGAATGCCTCTTCTGTGAAGAAGAAGGACACTCACACTGGTGTAAACTCCAAAATATTATTGACGTGTAGTTTTTCTGCCTGTATAAAAAATGGTTTTATCTAAGAATACCTTAGTAGTTATATTATGTTTTAAATGTAAAAAACCATGCCTCGGTATGAAAGAGCTAGTTCGACCGATTTACTGTCACGCAAAAAACCAACGTGGTACTCTACTTGTATCGTGATTCGCCGCATCCCCAATCTCCAAGTCCTTCGTACAAATCGCTAATCCCTAACAGGCCTAAAAAGGCCAGCGACAATTTGGCAACTGATCGGTGGTTGGTGTCCATGGGCAGCGCAAATAGCTTACCATCAGGTGTACGCTTGCTGCTCTATTCCAGAAAATATATGAAAACTAGCTGACCCGACAGACTTGGTCCTGTCAAACATAATTGTAATGTGGCAACATGTGGCAGTGTTTTGTTCCTACCTATTTTATATTCTGTGCAAAAATATCCTGAACAGAACCGTCACCCTGGTAATAATACGGGGTGAATTAAAAATAGAACACTATAAGATGTTTTATTTAATTATTAAAAATAAAATACTATATTTTTTTTATTAAATGATTTTGATATATTTATATTACACACACTGTTTTGATAGATATGATTGAATTTGAACTTTTTATAGCGGTAAGAAAGTGTAAATTAATTTTTGACGTTAGTAACGCACCTACATTTCTTAGATAACAGTGAGCGCTTGTTATTTAATATGAACTTTATGTATTTACCTAATAGCAATATAGCTCAAATTGATTATACGTTTTAGTTAGAAAACGTTTGTATGTGAAAAAGAAAAGGGCTGTTTTTAGGGGTTTCTCGGCAATTATTCCAATTTTTCCCCCCGTAAGAACAATCCTTGGACTTCAACGAACATCTTAAAAAAAAGAATAGGCCGAATTGGTCCAGGCGTTGTTGAGTTATGTGCTTACCAACACAGTTTGCGATTCATGTTTATATTATAGATATCAATATCCTAATTTAAATATGCTTCAATAAGTTTATTATTTCCTTTAACGTATGTCACGTTATGTCGCTTGAAATGTAATTAGGTAATCAAGTTAATGAGGAAGGAAGGAATGAACGGAAACATGCCTAGGCTTCTCTATAAATTTCGTGACATATTACTCATATTATTGCATAGTTAGTACTTAAGTATGGTGTTACATGAAACACTGTAATTAAAATGTGTAGATGTATTTTTTTTTTGTTTTTTTAAACGTTGCCCCACATTAGGATTTTCTCCTGTGTCATGGGTGCGGTTACAAACATACAATGTCACATACACATGACACCCAGACCCGGAACAACAATTTGTGGATCACACAAAGAGTTATTCCGTGCGGAATTCGATCCCGCGACTCGTGGCACGGCAGCCAGTTGCCCAGCCACCGCACCAACCGTGCAGTCGAACAGTACTTATACCCAGACTTTCTTACAATTCAGTCAATCAGAGTCAATTGTTACTCAACCCAGTCTCTAATTATATTTTTTATGGAACTGGAGACAAACGAGCAAGCGCATTACCTGATGGTAAGTAATCACTGCCACCCATGAACACTCGCAACACCAGAGGAGTAACAGGCGCGTTGCAAGTTTTAAGTATTAAAAACAAAATCGTTACTAAGAAATATTATTAAATGTTTTCTGAAATGGTATGTAAAACTATATAATTAATCCTCAATTGTATAGGCTGAAAACTATCAATTAGGGGGTATTTTTATGATTAACGAACAGACGGATCATATAATGGAAGGTGGGCAAGGGGGGAGAGGTGGGTGGGAAGAGAGACATAGATTTTGAGTTTCCCGGGAAAAGTAATAAAGGGATGGCTTGGGCCTCCCGGTAACCCCACTCATACGGTAAACTCAACGCAAGAATTGTTTCATCCGGTGGTATCACTGCGGCCAAGCCGGAAATTTTGACTGCTTCATGATTCTCTTTGATTCTCTTAAAAGAACTTTTGTAATGTGAGCTCTGAGATTATAAGCATGATTAAAGGATATAAGAACAGACATAAACTACTTAGATTTTCCTTTCCTAATTGAGTGTATAAAAAAAAGTATTAGAGCGAAGTTACGTATGCAACTTATGTCATAAATACAGTTCCAAGAGTTCAAAAACTCCAACTACAAACTAACCAAAACCTCATGGTGACAAAAACTCAAAACTACCACCTTTTGTCAACCCTAACATCAAACCAGACACTTTAAGTCATTTTCATGACAACTAGAACAACACAACAGTCATTAAAAGTACCAGGAACACATAAAATTACGTCAGTGTCCGTTGATTTGTAACACTCGATTACATCTCCATTCTTTCATACCATCTGTACTTAGGTTACGTGATCCTATGATGTCACGGAACTTGGCTATAATTTTTACTTTTCCACCATAAGTATGCTAGTTTAAGCGAGTAAAGGCTTCGTTGTTATGGCAAAGGTTAGTGCTATCTTTGAGGAAAGAGACTCTACAGTTTCCCCACCTTCCGACACGGAAGATTCGAATGATACCTGAGTAGGGTTCGGGTAGGAAACGGTTACTGGGCTTGTAAGTTCCTTGGAATTTGAAGATTGAGGATGGAAGGAAGGGCAAGAATTAGGCCTCCAGTAACCTCAATCATACGGCAAAATACAACATAAATATTGTTTCACACCGGTATTCTGTCTCCTTCTGTGAAGCAGTTATGCTCGCAAAGAGGGAGGCGGCCCGAGTGAGGGAGCAATCCTCCTCCTCACGCCCCAGCCGCCGCAATAGACGCCATTCCGGGCGTCGGGGATCGCGAGATGATCTCCGGCCACCGTAAGCGCGGGTCTGCGGTCGGCGAGTAAGGGCAGCTCGCGACCAGAACCAGGCCCGAGCGTACGGCGCGTAGCGTTCCGCGCGCGCCTCAAAGAGCCAATAGACGACCACAAACGGGCCCTTATAGGGCTGATGTTCAGCCGGGGGGTGCGGGGTAAGCGCAATGAGGCACCGCGACCTCGGCCCAGATCAGGAGAAGGAACAGGGGGTTTTTTAGTCAGTAAGAGTCTGACTCCCTCTCGCCCGGCCCTGGGCGAGAGAAGTCATTTGATGATTTTCCCCTCACAAAAAAAAACCGGTATTCTGTGAAGCCGGTAGAGCATTGCTCTCGTACAATTAAAATTCTTCTGAATAAATTATTATTTACGTATTCACCTATTGAAAATCACTTATAATAACATGAGGTCATGAAGAATTGTATGGTTGCCCTTGTTTTGAATAAATCAAAATAATCGAAAACCTTTGATCGTAATGTCACGGATAATAATGCTTGATTATGTTTATTAATCATCAACATCATCAGCCTGCTCTATAAAAGAGAGAACCCTAATGTGGGGCAACGTTTTTTAAAAAAAGAAAAAAAGAAAAGAAATGTCGCAGTTTAAAAGCAGCGTGGTTATGCCATGTAGGTGAGGTTACTGGAGGCCAATTTCTCATGAGTCCCTAAATCTCCGAAACACTATCCTACAAAAGGTGCGCACTCGTAGTTAGTCCTTGAGTATAACGTGCCTATAGGTGACATCAATTGTTTACTATCAGGTAATTAGTAAGCTCCCATTATTTATGTATGGGACGGTAAACGAATCGCCATCTGCACAGTTGACGCTGTTGCTGAGCAACTAACTGCCGCGCAACGTATCGCTGGTTCGATTCCCGCACTGGGTGTGATGTGCATGTGAAATTGTATGTTTGTAAATGCACTCACGACACGAGAAAATCCTAGTGTAAGGAAACGTTTAAAAAAAAGTAAAAACAAAGAACTGTTGTTGGGTCTTTGTGAAAAAATTTATTATGAAAACTTTAGTCCCAAAAAGGCCGTACACACTCGTAACTCCTCTGGTGTTGCGGGTGTCCATAGACGGCGATTGCTTAAGATCAGGTAATCTGTCAACTTTTGCTGTTCTATCTCATAGAAAATTGGTTTAAGATCTCAGATTTTGTATCGCTTTTTCCCTATTTGCCCTACTTCAATTTCTTCAAGAAGCTACGGAATTGCGAAATGTTATCTCCCTGTGCGCAAGCTCTTAATCCTTCAAGTAAATTAGATGTATTAGATTTCCGATGATTCTAATGAGATGATGCATTGTACAGACGTCATCCATCGCCAGTATAACCTCGTTTTACTTTGACAGGTTAATTAATTGTATTAAGCTCATTAGTCTCCACTGTAATTACAAGAGTCCGGTTTCCTATATAATTAGAATTGAGAATAATAATTAAGGGAAGAGACACCTGGGCCGAGAGGGGGATTCAACATTGGACTCAAAGGCCATGTTAAAGTCCAAATCATTTATTTCAACTAAACCATGAAAAAGTACTTTTGAAACGTCAAAATAGAATAGTAGTCTGTCAGTCTGTTCGTCAGTGAAGCTAGGTG